TGAGTATCCACCACGGCCACCTGTTTTAAACCTTCTACAATACTGACCCTTTACGGCTGCAGGGGTTGCCTCCACCTCCATGCAGTTTCTGTTATTCCTGGCAACATAAAACAAGTTCATTTGATAAAACACCTTTTACGCAAGTGAAGTGAAGGACTTTTTTCTGTGCCTTCAGGCATATAGGGCTAGACCTATTTTTTGAAGACTAATCAGTGCTGATTGGGTAATGTCAACATCTTGCCAGCCATCTTCACTCTCCAGGATTTTACCAGATACCCAATTAATACTGGGTACCCATTTAATACTGGGTCAATCTTGGAGCCAAGAGTTTTTTAAAAGTCTGGCACCCGTCAAGATCTGAACCCACAACCTTCAGCACTGCAGGTGAAGATCTAGCCGCTACACCACAGCGACTGCCCAGTGGCTAGAAAGGATTATTTTGATTGACGTGGGTTCCCAGACTGACCCAGTGAACAAACACTAGAAAATTTCATGGAAAGTAGGTGCAGTATTGATCCCACTGACCCCTGAAGTGCCTATTGAGCCAAACATCAGGCTTGCATCTACGGGGAAAGAGGCCTGTGTAGACTTTTGCCTCAAACCGGTATCAAGGTGCCGAATCCCCGGGCACTGTTACTGTGCTTTTCCTGCTACCTTCAAGCTCACACACAGATGCCAGAATGTGCTTCACATCTTCAAAGATATACAGAGTCATCGAGAATAATTACTGGGAGTTTAAACTGTTATTTCTTCTTCTTTGCGTTCACCAGCTGTTAACTCTGGCGGAAAGTTTTTGTTGTTCATCCACTTGTGGACTGCAGTCATGTTCCAAAACCTGAGTGTTCCGTGTGCATCCATTTTACAGATCTGACTCACGTAGGTCTGTTCTTTTTTCCCTATAATAGGGCTCGTAAACTTAAGACAGTTTCAAGTTTTAGATTCCACTTAGTTCACTTCACTAAGCATGCCATTTATAGCTCAAGTGATGTCTAGACAGTGTTCAATCTTCTGAATCACATCCAGAGTTGTACTTGCTGCAGCGACCCTTATTTTTAGGTGCTGGTTCTTTCTTTTTGCCGTTTCAAAGCTCTGAGTCACACAGACTCGCACCAAACTTCAAACTTTTGTGGACATTTTAAGGCGCCACGTGTGTGTAACCATCAAGTACTTCTTCAATGAAAACATTTGACAAATCCAGGAGGCATTCTGGATAACCCTGAATCAGGATGTAATTAGAATAAGGACCATCGTCATCTTCTTCTTTCTTTCGTTCACCAGGTGTGAATTCCAGCGGAAGGTCCGGGTATGTCGTCCATTTGAATTTTTTGCTTTTACCTGGACCTGAGTTTTGCGTGTACATCCGTTTTACTGGCTTATTTGTTTGCCGTTCCCTGCCTCGCCTTCCTTGCCTCACCGGCAGATGTACTCTGGCTTCAAGGGAGGTCCAGCATGGAACTGACTGGGATTAGGCCTACGTTGACCACATTGCCTCCACAAGTTTGATATTTTATTGTCAACAGTTTTAGATTCTTCCCCATATGGGTACCTGGGAAGAGGGGGGGGGGGGGTTAACTGGACTGGACACAGCCCCTCAACAGATACTGCAGTTAAGCTGAAAACTGCACCATAACGTGCTAACCTCCATTTTAAAGTTGACTACAGAACAAAAAGAAGACTGCAACACAGTGCTTCAAACAAGACAATGTGGGCGGTCATGTACAGGAGGTGCATGAACTGATAGAGATACTGTTGAAGAATTGCAATTCTGGAAAGGCCTGGTCATCCGTATTGATTTCCAAGGCACATACTTGGTAATAAAAAATAATCGGGTGTATAAAGTTATTTGATGTTTGTCTATATGATTTGTTTTTCACAGAAATAAAATACCAGTGGCTGAGGAAAACTGGTGTCATAATTTCTGACTGTCTGAGTATATTCTCAGCATTCTTCTGTAAAGAAAACAAAAGAAAAAAATCTTGGTTGCTTCCAGTTTATTAATAATTACTATCCATGAATGTTTAAATGGAAAAAGTAAGATGCTGAGCGATGCAGAGCTGATGAGAGATGCAGAGCTGCTGAGTGATGCAGAGCTTGATGAGAGATGCAGAGCTGATGAGAGATGCAGAGCTGATGAGAGATGCAGAGCTGATGAGTGATGCAGAGCTGATGAGAGATGCAGAGCTGATGAGCGGTGCAGAGCTGATGAGCGGTGCAGAGCTGATGAGAGGTGCAGAGCTGATGAGCGGTGCAGAGCTGATGAGAGATGCAGAGCTGATGAGCGGTGCAGAGCTGATGAGCGGTGCAGAGCTGATGAGCGGTGCAGAGCTGATGAGCGGTGCAGAGATAGAGAGCTGCTCAGAGATAGAGAGCTGCTCAGAGATAGAGAGCTGCTCAGAGATAGAGAGCTGCTCAGAGATGCTGAGCTGATGAGAGATGCAGAGCTGATGAGAGATGCAGAGCTGATGAGCGATGCAGAGCTGATGAGCGGTGCAGAGCTGATGAGCGGTGCAGAGATAGAGAGCTGCTCAGAGATAGAGAGCTGCTCAGAGATAGAGAGCTGCTCAGAGATAGAGAGCTGCTCAGAGATAGAGAGCTGCTCAGAGATGCTGAGCAATGCTGAGCCATACGTGGTGGACCAGGGCATAAACTGCTCAAGACCGTGGCAAAGTGGTCAAGCCATTAGCCTCCTGAGTTCCTGGGTTCATTTCACAGCTGCATCGTTCAGTTCACGAGTGCAGTTTCAATGTAGATCACTAGGGATCATCAACAGAGCTACGGAGTTCATGCTTTATGTGATACTTCCAGCAGGCAGCTAGCTGTTCTGTGGAGAGAGACCGAGCCATATCCCAGGGCATAGAAGAATCAGCTTTTCCTTCAAAGTCTGAGCGACTCTGCTGGAGAGGCAAATAACCAAGTCCACTTACAAAAAAAAGACAGGACTAAAGTCTGGAAGTGGATAAACAAGATCTCTCCAAGGGAGTTTACAGCCAGCGAATGTTTAAAAAAAACCACACACAGGAAAAAGCTGTTCAAGTGGCAAGTAGACCAGTTATCTCAGCCACTGATATTAAATGAGAAATTAATTTACTTGAGTCACACTGCCTGGTAATATTCTAGCGGTCCTCTGTCTTTAAGGTTGACGGCCGAAGAGATCCGACGCCAGCACCCGCGAATTGTTGCCAACCAGCTGGACACCTTGCTGGCAACCAATCAGAGACTGCAGAAGGAAGTGGACACTGTTGTCCATAACAGAGATAGCCTCAAGTCTGCGCTGGCCGAAGCCAAAACCAAACTGGCCAGTGCTGACAAGCAGTTAAATGAGGAGAAGGATCGCCAGGGAGGGGTTATCTCAATCATTGAGGTAGGGAAAAAATGTATTCCAGTTGGTATTCATTCAATGCTTGTTTGTTAGTGAGGTGGAGATGCAAGCAAGGTAAGACTAGACCAGTTGACACTTCTTTTTCTCCTTCTTCACATTCACGGGCTGTAAACTCCAGCAGAAGGACCTGGTTATTTGTCCACCTTTTACGCATTTGTTTTACAGATCTGGCCTATTCCTGTGCAGACTCTTGGTTTCTTGTCTCTCTGGCAGACTCACTCCGACATTGAAGGAAATGTCAATCCTGTCTATCCACATGTATACAGGTCAGCTTTCAAGGAAAGGCAGGGGCAGATCATGAGCATTCCCTGCCGTCCAAGGAGGCTTCCATAAATACAGAGCCGTCACATGACGCTCTGGCCCTGGGCTCACCCAACGAATTGTCACATCCTGCACAAGACTGCTTAAAGTATGTTGAGCTTTCTAATCGTCCCGGCTGCGCTCTCTGAAGATCAGCAGGAAGCAACTTGCAGGTCAGAGACTTCGATGGCCACACAAATAGGTAAAAAAAAAAATTCATCTGAAAACAGCGAGACAGTGTGGCAAAAGCAGGCATGGCTCCCCCTTTTAGGTCCCACACTGTTGAGCAGGGCCAATGGTAACGGACATGTAAACTTTTCTGTCAATTATTCAGACTTTTTTGGGTGAACATTCAGGACTTTGTTCCTGTGACATAGGACATGTTACAGACGGGTGTTTATGTCAAACAAGCTCATCTAGGCCGCGAGCAAATCTCTTCTATTAGGACTGAATCTCAGCAGTACAGTAGTTCTTGCCACCCGACTGCCGTTTTAACCAAGCATTGTCATTTAGCAGCGGCTGGCATACTTTCCGCATGTTCTAAATGAACTTTGATAGACGTTTTCACCCATGCATTCTTGGTGGGCTGATATGAACCAGACTGGACACTACATCTCTAGAGGCCACCAACTGCTAGATCCCCTGCCAACTTGGTGCAGGTCACAAAGGAGGCGGACGTGCGGCAGGAGTCTTGTGCAAGGGTCCATAAGACCATCCAAGAGGCGGCTAGCACCTGAGGTGAGGTATGGAGTAACTCCTTAAAGCATCACAACAGCCTTAATTTTCTCTCACGCCTGTGGTTGTTATCTTTTCCGTTGTTTCACTTTTTTTTTCTGGTGTACTATCGTGTAAAGATGAAGTACATCCACATTCCCGTCAGCACCTGTACGTTATGAGCTGGGTTATCTTCACAGCCCTCCAGACATGTCCATAAGTGCTCACATTTCTCCATGTACATATACATCAGTGTCCCGCAGTTGATAGTGACAGTCCTATGCTGATTAACAAGACTTTATGGACATCCGGTATGTCTCTCATGCTTGGCTTTGTCAATCTTTACTCCCAGTTCTTGTATTCTTAGCAGTGATGTAGACACTCTACTCTCAAAATCATCTGATAATCCTATCTACCTAAGGGCATTAACAATGTCAGCGTAATGCAAAGCTCCCCTCATCTGTAACAAAGGCAGAACTGACCAGTTTATCAGCTCTTTCATTGCCAACAACACCCACATAGCCTGGGACAAAGATGAAGGTAACTTCACTGTCTACGTACTACTTGCACCAAATTAATTTGAATTTGTTTAAATAATATTTGACAGCAATACCATCAGAAGGCAGTGGCAAGCCTGGAGGCTGCTCTCAAGAAGAAAGAAGAAACAATTTCCAGTCTGCACTCTGAGCTAAGAGATGTGAGGCTGAAGTTTGAGGAGGCCCAGGGCAAGTGGACATGTGTGAGTGTTGAACTGCAGGAGAAATGTACTCAGCTGGAGAAGTTCAAGTGTGAAGCAGAAGATCATATTGCAGATGAGGTAATGATTTTTGTTCGTACAGTTTTTTCATACATAAATGTTCATTCTCGTGTGCAATCTCTTTCTGTAAATAGTGAAGGAAATATTTATTCACAGGTCTCTCCCCCCCCCCCCCCCCCCCCTCCCTTTCCCCCTTTTCTCCTCTTTTTGTTTTTGTCTCCCCCTCCTCATTTTCCCTCTCTGTTCTCTTGTCTCTTTATCTCATTCAGTCCCCCCCCCCCCCCCCCCCCCCCCATTGTGGTCTTATAGTTACAGAACATATTTTTTAGTTCACTTTGTGATTCATCTGTTGGGCCGGTTCACTCAGTTGTAGTAGCACTCTTCATTTAGTGAGGTAAGGACATTATGAGTGAACTCCACACTAGACACCAAGTACTGGTTGGTCTGTACAAACTGTAAGTCTAGCATCGTATGTCGGATGTGTAAAAACTTCCACTTTTGTTTATTTCTTGCTCTAACAGTGAACTTGTTTGATGTAATTAGAACCTCTTCCTTATAAAGAGGTTGATGTCATTAGAACCTCTTCCTTTTGCAGAGGTTGATGTCATTAGAACCTCTTTCTTATGCAGAAATTAATGTCATTAGAACCTCTTCCTTATGCAGAGGTTGATGTAATTAGAACCTCTTCCTTATGCAGAAGTTGATGTCATTAGAACCTCTTCCTTATACAGAGGTTGATGTCATTAAAACCTCTTCCTTACGCAGAGGTTGATGTCATTAGAACCTCTTCCTTATACAGAGGTTGATGTCATTAAAACCTCTTCCTTATGCAGAGGTTGATGTCATTAAAACCTCTTCCTTATGCACTGCACCACTGGGTGGTGAACTGATACATGACAAGGCAGATGTGATCAAGGCTTTTTGGGAACAAGCAGTGGAATCAGTAGAGAAACAAGATTATTATGGCCTGGAGAGAATGAGACACCTGGGTGTAACCAGAGGGTCTGGCCGGCTCACTACACCCATAGGAAAGGCAAGATGGACACATAACCAGATTGAGCGGTACCATCAGTATTGGAATTCTGCACCGGGTGCTGAAGATGAAGGCGGAGCACGCATGGAAATGCCCTGAGTGTTGTAATGTCAATTCTTAACCTAACTCAGCTCTTCCTAATGCATCCTTACAGTCAACATTTCTTTTTAACTTTTTCCACGAACATGGAGTTATTTAGTTCCCCTTTCATGAAATCCTTCATAGGAATTTTTCTGTGGCGAAGCGGTAAAGCAGTTTGCCTCATGCGCTGAAGGTCATTGGTTCATTTCACGGCTGCGCTGTTTAGTTCATGAGTACAATTTTAATGGAGATCCCCGGCGCTCGTCACTGAAGCTATAAAGTTCGTGCTGTGTGCGACGCTTTTGGCAGGCGGTTGGCAATTCTGCTGAGAAACCGAGCCGTGTGGGATAATAACCTGATGCAATGAAGTTCTCTTGACTTTATCTGAAAAGCTGCTTCACATTGATTAAAGTGTTTTCTTTGATTGATTGTCATTTTCCCTTGGTTGTCAACCCTGTCGTCATTAGTCCAAAAGGTGACCAGAATGGGCTTTGTTGGGCTCAGCGGAACAGATACCACAGCCTAGCTGTAAACATGTCTACCATCCTTTTAAGGGCGAATGCAGAAGAAGAACTGGCCCTGACAGCAGTAACTGTCATGGGGCTTCATTCAACCCTGATTTTTTTCATTTCTCTCAAGCCTATACTGCTTTGATATTGATCCTTCATGTCTTCTGTTACTGTAATGTTATTAACTCCTAGAGAGTTCCTGATGGGGAGGACAATGTCAGAGGACCAGTGATACAAGAGAAAAATGATATAAGTGGGTCCCGTATATCCCGTAGTGAGTTAAATAAGGGATACAAGAAAAGCATGAGACAGGAACGGAAGGTTTGAACGTCAGCCAGATCCCCTGGTCTGTCTGATTGTTTGTCCGTATTGGTGAGAGCTGCAGAACCAGCCAGTCTCTCCGCCTGTTCAAATTCCAACACACTGGCATACCCTGGAAAAAATATCCAAAGGACGCTAATTGACCGGGACCTCACCAGTGATGCTTGCCACTCTGCACGAAGAATACCTGTGTCCACATTTTTGCAGCATCCTCTGTGATTGATTTACAATCACTGTGTGCAGCTGGTTCTTAAGCCAGTGTAAGGTTGGATTGACTGCCTCCACCTCCCATCTCAAACTAAATTTTGTAATATCATATGCTAGGTTTCATTGAGCTAAGGGTTGTCCATTCGCACTTCTGCCTCTCAACACAGCTTTTACCAGTTTGGATGTCGAGTCTGCCTCGACCGTAGGTACACAATACTCTTGTAGAGGTTCTCGTTATCTTCCTCTTCTGTTCTTGGTCTGTGTTTAATTTATAGCTGGTTCTGTGTTCAGTTTATTACTTTTTCTGTATTTAATTTATTACTTGTTCTATGTTTAATTTATTACTTGTTCTGTGTTTAATTACTGGTTCTGTTTTAATTAATAACTTGTTCTGTGTTTAATTTATTACTTGTTCTGTGCCATCTTGTTCTGTTAAGTCCTCTTTCTTGATTTTATCTTTTCTGGTCACTCCTGCAGCCTTCCACAGACATTCATGTCCATGGTTACTAACTGTCCTTTTCTGGTATGAAGTAAGTGTCCAGCTGTCATTAATTACGCAATATAAATGTGTAAACATTGAAATATTTGTTTGTCTACAGATGAAACAATTGAAATTGCAGTTTGAAGAGAAAAATTACTCCCATGCATTTTTGGCATCACAGCAAGTGATCAGAGAGATGCAGGCAGAGCAGGAGGAGTTTGCCAAACTATTTGATGATCTTGAACACTCAGTATCACTTCAGGTTCTTATCTCATTTATTATTTTTTTATCATGTTTTCCTCTAAACATTTCTATTCCGGTTAACTTAGGCGGTGGCTGTTGAGGTTGCAAACTATGTCTAGTGCTGTTGCTTGTCGCAGCTTGCACAATTGCAGGTTGTGGGTAGTGAGGTCGCATGTTTTTTTTTTAATTATCTCAAGCATGGTACCAGCTAGCACAGTTGCTCATCACAGCAAGCATGGTTGCATCTTGCACAGTTGCTCATCACAGCTAGCATGGTTGCAGCTAGCACAGTTGCTCATCACAGCTAGCATGGTTGCTGCTAGCACAGTTGCTCATCACAGCTAGCATGGTTGCTGCTAGCACAGTTGCTCATCACAGCTAGCATGGTTGCAGCTAGCACAGTTGCTCATCACAGCTAGCATGGTTGCAGCTAGCACAGCTGCTCATCACAGCTAGCATGGTTGCAGCTAGCACAGCTGCTCATCACAGCTAGCATGGTTGCTGCTAGCACAGTTACTCATCACAGCTAGCATGGTTGCTGCTAGCACAGTTACTCATTACAGCTAGCATGGTTGCGCTAGCATGGTCGCAGGTCACGTCTAGCACAGTTGCTTATCACAGCTAGCATGGTTGCTGCTAGCACAGTTGCTCATCACAGCTAGCATGGTTGCATCTTGCACAGTTGCTCATCACAGCTAGCATGGTTGCAGGTCACAGTCTAGCACAGTTGCTCATCACAGTTGCTATCACAGCTAGCATGGTCGCAGGTCACATCTAGCACAGTTGCTCATCACAGCTAGCATGGTTTCAGGTCACGTCTAGCACAGCTGCTCATCACAGCTAGCATGGTTGCAGGTCACGTCTAGCACAGTTGCTCATCACAGCTAGCATGGTTGCAGGTCACGTCTAGCACAGTTGCTCATCACAGCTAGCATGGTTTCAGGTCACGTCTAGCACAGTTGCTCATCACAGCTAGCATGGTTGCAGGTCACGTCTAGCACAGTTGCTCATCACAGCTAGCATGGTTGCTGCTAGCACAGTTGCTCATCACAGCTAGCATGGTTGCATCTTGCACAGTTGCTCATCACAGCTAGCATGGTTGCAGCTAGCACAGTTGCTCATCACAGCTAGCTTGGTTGCAGGTCACGTCTAGCACAGTTGCTCATCACAGCTAGCATGGTTGCAGGTCACGTCTAGCACAGTTGCTCATCACAGCTAGCATGGTTGCTGCTAGCACAGTTGCTCATCACAGCTAGCTTGGTTGCAGGTCACGTCTAGCACAGTTGCTCATCACAGCTAGCATGGTTGCAGGTCACGTCTAGCACAGTTGCTCATCACAGCTAGCATGGTTGCAGGTCACGTCTAGCACAGTTGTAGATTGCGGCGAGCTCTGTTGTAGCAGTTATGCGGTGGTACTGAACCAGGCATGGTGGTGCAGCAGGGCCGAGTTCAGACAGGTCAAGACCTACATACACATCTCGGCAATAATCTGAGGAACAAGTCTCCAACTAGTGATCAGAGATAGATGCAGGAGGAGTTTGCCAGACTATTTTATGATATTGAACAGTCACATACACATCTCCGCAGTAATCTGAGGAACAAGTCTCCAACTAGTGATCAGAGATAGATGCAGGAGGAGTTTGCCAGACTATTTAATGATATTGAACACTCAACGTATCTTCAGGTTTTCTTTCTTCAACAGGGTCTTCTCGACCTACGACTGAGTTCCATTCTGACTAACAGGTTGTAAGTCAAACTAGTCATAAGCTAATTTATATTTTCAAAACCATTTTGATATTTCCATGGGTTATTAAAAGTTGTACATTAAACACATTAATGTAATCTTTATATGTATAGTTATTGTACACAATGTTGTACTCTGTTGCAACACTTTCTGGAACTTTTTTTGTGTGTCCCTACCAATGTAATCTCTCTTCATTTACTATTTTCTTTTGTGGTCATAAGTCGCATAGGTAGTATGCTGAGGGGAATGTGCACATTATTTTTTTTATCGTTCTCATCTGAACTTTTTGGCATGCTGGAAGATTCTCCTCCTGTCTTGCTGTTTAAAACAAAACACCTTATACAGGACTTGTGGTAGCATGCAGCTTGGCGGTCATAGATTTAAATGTGCGGCCGGGATGCAGAGGTGCTAAACCACTAGTGATCCCAGAAAAATGTTCCCAACGAGGAGGCTGGTCAATTGGATGCTTGTTTCCTTTGACAGCTGAGTCCCTGAGAAGTAAGGAACCAGCAGTCTGCATACACAAAATCTGACCTATAAAATGGATGTGCACACTAAGGTGAGTTCTTGGAACAAGACAAAAGTTCACAAATAGATGAACAGCCAGGACTTTCCCTTCCACCAGAGTTTAAAGCTTGTAAACATAAAGAAATCTTGAAGAGTACCATGGGGCGCAACCTAAAAACTTTCCTATGTTGTGATGCATAAAAATAATTTACCGGTTACAAAAATACAATTTCCAAAGATTGTACATGCTTATCTTTATCAGTTTTCTATTCTGGGTGTTGTTATAAGTACTGTTTTGTTTCATTTAGGGCCGGCTTCAAGATTTGCTGGGCCCCTTAATTAGGAAATCCCGGAAGGTTGCCAAAGATCATATCAGTGTGCGTGACAGACTCACTAAACAGGTAAATATAAATTAAGACATCTTTGTCAGGTGCAGCTCTGAGGTCTGGAGATCAATGATTACTTTAGATTGTTTTTTAGTGCCAGGGTTTGATTCCCATGGCGGATGTTTCAGAAAAACACTGTTTTCATATCTTTGGGACAGTGGTATGAGAGTTGCACCATTGAAATGATTGAGGCCTCAACACGTGATATTCTCAGATACAGCAGTCGGTATACTGCAGCCAACCTGTGTTTTGAAGGGGGCACAGTTTTTGTGGATTAGGTAATGTGGGTGTTGTCAGTGTGTAGTCACATCTATTGTCTTTCATTGCTTGTCTGAGGGAGAAAATATATTTTGTACTTGAACAGGTCAGAATGCAGGGTTCTCCTGTACGAGGCCTGGGATTTGAACTCTCGGTAAGGTTGGGGATTTTTTCCTTTTTTTGTTTTTTTGTTGTTGAGGATAAAAACAAAATCCTAACATGCGCTAGCCGGCTTCAAGATTTGCTGGGCTCCTTGATTTGCAATTTTTTACGGGAATCACTGGGGCTCATCGCCGAAGCTATGGAAGTCATGCTCTGTGCGAAACTCTTGGCAGGCAGCTAGCTGTTTTGTAGAGAGAGACTTTGCCCTATGGAATTTTAAAAAACTGGTTCAATGAAGTTCGATCCACTCACCTTTACCTTTAGCAGTATGGCCCTAAAACCTGAGGCTTAAAGACGCTCCTGCCTACACCACAAGAGTGGTACCTGCAGGCACTAATGGCAGTTTTTTTGTGTTTAAATTATCAAATACCATAAATTAGTTAATGTCCTTACTTTTGTTTAATCCTCTTTAATTTCATCTAGTACTACTTTTCTTCCTTCAGTAATCTGTTTGTCATTTGTTTATTAACAGAATCAGGCCATACAGAAACAGCTTACTTCCGTGCAGACAGATCTAGAGGTGGCATTGTCAGAAAACAAAGATCTACATGAAGACATTCAGAACATCAGTGATATTTTAAAGAGAAGCAATGAAAACTACGCAGAAGTAAGAGGATATTTTGTGTAGACATGTGTTGTGAGATATCTTTGGAATTACACCAAAAAGTGCTTTGATCATCAAAATGTGATCTCTCTTTTTCTGGAAAAAGATGTCATGGTTAATGTGACTCTGAAGTGGCTTTTTTCCTGATGTTTTCTAGGTTCTTATCACAATAGTGTCTGCACTGCCCATTTATGTCGCGGCAGGTCACACGCCATGTCCTAAGTTGTAGGGGTGTCACATATTCCTTTTTTCCCAACAGTTCATTGTCCTTTTCTTGTTTTGTCACAGCTCAGTTGTGAGATTACTGGGACATTGTACTTGCGCGACTGTATGTGAGTAGCGAAACTGGGATGTTTCGAAAACTTAACAAAGTCAAACGGAAAACTGCTGATAGAGAATTCAGGCGATCTCTGGCAAACTTCTACACCCTAAAGGTAGAAGAGGAGCGGCTAACTTAAAGGTGTCCTGGTAAAAAAGAAAAGTGTCAGGTTACTGGGGTGACTGGAAAACTAACTTTCGGAGCCAGGTCTTTCTTTAGTGTTTTTCCTGACATCCTAGAAAAAGGCTAAAGGGTCGTTAATGTGTGTTCGGGATGGGCTTAGGGGTGACATTCATCTTTTTGGTCACATATTTCTTTATTTGAATTCAAACATGTAAAATGGTTTCCATGGTTTTTGTTGTTGCTTTCATTCAAGACACTATTTACATGTTCAAAAGAGGGGGGATGGAGGGTTCTCAAGGTATAGTGTCTTTTCGAGTGCTGGAGGTCCTGGGTTCAAGCTCTGGTGATGGTTGGGATTTTTTTCACCTGGGCTTCTAGTAATTCCCCCCTGTTCTCTGGGTAGTAAGATTGGATGTCTGTGTGTATTATTGTGCATGTAAAAAAATTCCTTGCAATAGAAAATAGTACCCTAACGGCACTGCCTGGTCAACATTTGCGGTTTAAAAAAATCTATTCAAGGTATTTCAGTGGCCTTCCTGGTGCAACAGAGTTGTGCACTGCACTGAGTTACTTCAAACTGGAGCTTCAGTTAGAGGTAGACAGCCATGTTCCAAGATATTTATCGCTTTCAAGACAACATTCAACAGCTACATGATGTAGGGCACATAAAATTATGCCCGCTAAAAATAAGAAAAGAACGTATCCCGCAGAGCGGTGGTAATAGCGCCACATATTATCAATTCTTTTATGAAACAATGACAAGAACTGGTTTAAGGTAAAATATACTACATACATTGAAATATTGTAATCTTTCTAATATAATTTAGTTCAAAAATACTAAGCAAATTCACCAGCTCACCAAGGTTGCGTTATAGTTTTTTTTAATTCAATTCCTCCCTTTCTCACAGGATATGAGATTCTAGAGAAAATGATTTTAGGTGTACAACAGTAACTCATATAAAGTAATTTCCCTTACTCCAAGTTATTTCCCCTTGATAACCAATAATACAATATTAACACTAAAACTTTTTTTTTGTGTATATTCGTGGGAAATAACTGACAGTTACCCTTAACTTTATTTTAGTTATTCCCCATTGATTAAATCAATTTATGGCAACTGCTTATAAGAAGGACAATACTGAATTTCTAGGTTTCTAGGTAATATGTACCCTCTTGTACAAGTTTAATAGAAGTTATTCAAGTTTGTTGTCCTCTTCATTTCATTACTTGGTAGAGCTTTCCCACACTGGCCACACTTGCCCTGCATACTATTACAGATAGGCTCAATGTTCTTCAGAATTACACCATAAATTGCTTTCTTCGTCAGAATGTGATCTCTTTTTATTTTGTTCTTCCTTTTCTGCAAAAAGATGTTATTGTTAATTTGACTCTGAAGTGGCCTTTTCCTGACAATTTTCAGGTTCTTATCAGGATAGTGTCTGTACGGCGAGAGCTACCTTCCGTCTCATTTATGTTGCAGCCGGTCACACACCATGTCCTATGTTGTGAATATGTCACATATTCTAAGTTTTTTAAACAGTTTATTCTGTCTTTTCTTGTTTTGTCACTGCTCAGTTGTGAGATTACTGGGACATTGTGCTCTTGCACGATGGTACGTGAGTAGGGAAACTGGGATGTTTTGAAAACTGAACAAAGCCAAACTGAAAACTGCTGATAGAGAATTAAGGCGATCTCTGGCAAACTTCTACACCCCAAAGGTAGAAGAGGAGCGGCTAACTAAGCTTAAAGGTGTACTGGTTAAAAAAGAAAAGTATCAGGTTACTGGGGTGACTGGGAAACTAACTTTCAGAGCCAGGTCTTTCTTTAGTGTTTTTCACCAGTTTCTGACATCCTAGAAAAAGGCTAAAGGGTCGTTAATGTGTGTTCGGGATGGGCTTAGGGGTGACATTCCTCTTTTTGGTCACATATTTCTTTATTTGAATTCGAACATGTAAAATGGTTTCCATGGTTTTTGTTGTTGCTTTCATTCAAGACACTATTTACATGTTCAAAAGAGGGGGGATGGAGGGTTCTCAAGGTATAGTGTCTTTTCGAGTGCTGGAGGTCCTGGGTTCAAGCTCTGGTGATGGTTGGGATTTTTTTCACCTGGGCTTCTAGTAATTCCCCCCTGTTCTCTGGGTAGTAAGATTGGATGTCTGTGTGTATTATTGTGCATGTAAAAAAATTCCTTGGCTGTTAGCAATAGAAAATAGTACCCTAACGGCACTGCCTGGTCAACATTTGCGGTTAAAAAATCTATTCAAGGTATTTCAGTGGCCTTCCTCTGCACTGAGTTACTTCAAACTGGAGCTTCAGTTAGAGGTAGACAGCCAGGTTCCAAGATATTTATCCCTTTCAAGACAACATCCAACAGTTACATGATGTAGGGCACATAAAATAATGCCCGCTAAAAAATTTTTTTTTTTTTTTTTTTTTTTTTTTTTGTGTGTTGCTAGTATTTTTGTAAGTCTGTTTTTACATTCGTTGCCGTTTGTGCGTGTTATTGTTGTGTCGTTTTGTGAGTGCGTTTCAAAAATTTTATTCAATTTACAAAAACAAACAAAAAGAAATGGAAAAGTAACAAAACAAGGTGAAAGGAAAAAGCTCTGGGGCGGGGAAAAAAGAAGGGAAGGGGGACTCCACTCATTTTTTGGGTTCGCACCAAGAGAGGGTTCCGTATTGTTTCAGTGGTCTGTTTCTTACTTTGATTTCGACGTCTTCTAGGAAAGAAAGTTGGTGTCCTTTTTTTGATGGTTTTGCCAGTTGAAGGTTACATCTAACGCAGTGGACTTGGTGACTGTGTGCGAAAATGTGGTCGATTCCGCCGAGCATTGTGGACATAATATGTCTTTGATGTGAGGCTCGGCACTCTCCCAGTCTGTGTCTTCTGAGTAAGAAGTGGACTCCTCTTTCAAGCCGGCTGCTGTCGTTTCCTCTGGTATTTCTCTGTTGTCTCTTTTTGCTGCAGGTGAAGTCTCGTTGGAGCTAGCCTTCTGGCGGCTTCGCTTCTTGACCTTCTTCTGCTTCTTGCCTTTGGCCTGTGAGCTTCCTTCTTCTTCTGTTGAGGACTGCGTTATCACCTCCGTAGCGACTGCCGCCTCTTCCTGGGGTGGATGAACCTCCTCCGGAATGGGTGCAGTTGCTGGTTCTGGTCGTCTCCTCCTTGTAGGGCACTTGTTTGCCCAGTGGTCATTGTGCCCGCAGTGAGGACAATTCGTCCTTCTGCCTGGCACAGTGACCCAGAGCTGGTGTTTGCCGCCGGGGAGCGCCGGATGCCTCATGTTGACATAATGAGGGATCGGTTTTGTCTCCCTCACGGAGGCATGCCATCTGTCGATGCCGTGTTTTGGAATCTGGTATGTTTCGGGATCCTCGTCTCCCGTGATTCCGGTGATAATTTTTTTCACGGTCGCTTCCGTGGCTGTGACTGGCATCCAATTGATGCAGATTTTTGTTCTTACTTTGTCTAGATGTTCTAGAAGAACATCTACACCCTCCACTGTTTTCCGCGCATTGTGCAGGAGATGGTAATGAGTCCTGTGGGCTGCTTCGGTGAGGGTGAGGTACCACTCGGTGGTCTTCGAGTAGCGGTACAGCGCCGCTATCCCGTGGATAGGCACTCCGACTGGGCCTATCAGGACGCTGGTCAGCCAGGCGGTCGCCGCCCTGGAGGCAGCATCGGCACCGGACAAAGACACAATGATCGTATTACCTGTCCGGTGAATCCTTCCTCCAGGGAACGTGTCCGTCGGCACGTCCAGGTCCAGGTTGGTGACGTCTGCTGCAGGCAGTGTTGCCACTTTTCTTTGACAAAAAATATCCAAAACGGTGTCAAAAAAGATCTAAAAAGATCTGAATCTCCGTGGAAAAGATCTATAAAAAACATCCAAATTGAAAAAGTCAAAAATTACATAGCTTTTGTTATGACTTACCCTACATAATCATGTCCTCACCTTCACTGATGTCTGCCCCACAAGATCCACAGGATAAACTTAGCTTGGATAATGAAGTTGAAGCTTCAGATCCAAAATGACCCTGGTATGCTTTAGCAGTTCAAATTTCTTTATAAGTCGAACAGTAGGCTTATTTCCCTAGTCTCATCAGGCCGAATTTTAATGGCACGATAGCATTTAAGAGGTCAAATTTCATCATGTTTTTTTTAAAGTTAGATTTGATATAATTCCTAGCACTGAACACTCTTTCTACGTCAGCATTTGAGTGGAAGTATCATGGCAGACATGACACTTTAAAGAGCTTACAGAATGGACTGTTTGATGAGGCATCTTTAAATTGTCTCACTTCACTCCAAAACGCTTTAGTTTCTGTTTTGTTTGTTTCATCACTGTACATTCCATATAGTATTTCAGCTGTGTAGCACTTTTCACTTTGTCTTGTTATTTCAAAGTGTGTCTTCAACTTCAACCATTGCTTCATAATTCTTTCAACAGCTGGTTAAATTGATAACCATCTAGTTTTGCAATCTGACAGAATTTTCGGTGGTGTGGAACCATCATTCAAGGCTGTATATAATGTATTGTATTGCTGTTGTCTGACAAATGAT